AAAAGGACAATACATTTTAAACCAAAGATATGTGAGTATAGAAACTTTTCTAGGAAAGATAAGTAAAAATATAAAAATCAGTATTCTTGTAATTTTGATTCTAACTCCATTTTTGTTATTCTATTGGGTTTTAAAATGTAAATCATAAAATATAAATCTATGTTGATGGATACATTGTATACAAAGATATAATTTGTGACATCAATAACATAAACATTACTTATTAAATTTTTAAAGTTTTTAAAAGATTTATTTATTTATTTGGCATAGCGGTGGCCATGTGGGATAACTATATCCTTTGTCAGAGTCCTGGATCCTCCACTTACAGTCCAGTTTCCTGCTAATGGGTATCAGGCATGGTGGCAGGTATAGGCTCAAGTAGATAATTCCCTGACACCAATGTGTAAGAACTGAATTGAGTTCCAGGTTTTTGGCTTTGGTAATACCCATAATGGACTTTTGAAAGCATTTAGGGAATAAACCAGTGAATGGAAGATCTCTATCTCAATATATTTCTCTCTCTCCTTCTTTCTCTCTCACACATACACACACACACACACACACACTTTCTCAACCTTTCAAATAAAGTGATTTTTTTAAAAAATTTAATGTAAAGACTTAGTAAGTCATTTGTCTTTATTTTGAAGTATTATCTTGTTCCCTTGTTCCAAAGTCCTTTTCATGGCATGGCCTAAAAAAATCTTTGTATTACTTCTCCCATGCACGTTTTTTTTTTAATCTCAGCATAAAGCAAATTACCTGGAAGCAGTGGTAAAATGACAGTACAAGGTCTCTCCTTTAACATACAGCACAATGTTTTCGTAAAATGATTTAATAGGTCTTTATTTTTAAAGTCTCATTAATTGATTGCTTTATGATTGAGGTTTTAAAAAAAAAAACCTCAATTTTCCACCAGTTCTAGAAATCATCAGCTTGCTGAACATTAATTTCTTTTTTAATGATTTTTTTATCTATTTGGAAGTCAGAGTTACAAAGATGGAGAGAGAGAGAGAGAGAGAGAGAGAGAGAGAGAGATCCTCTATCCATTGGTTTACTCTTCAAATGGCCTCAATACTTTCAGCTGGACCAATCCAAAGCCAGGAGCCAGGAACTTCTTCCAGATCTTCCACATGGGTGCAGGGGCCCTAGAACTTGGGTCATTCTCCACTGCCCTCCCAGGTGCATTACTGGGGAGCTGGATCAGAAGTGGAGCAACTAGGACTCAAATCAGCATCCATATGGAATACTGTCATCACAGGTGGCAGTTTTACCCACCATGCCATGGCTCCAGACCCAAACACTATTTTCTAATAATTATTTCATGGGATAATCTGCTTTCACAGTGCTTTTAGATACTATGGGTAAGCATTTTACCAAATATTTGCCACTGCATAGAAAAGTTAATTCATTTTATTCATAAGAACTTGCTTTTCTTATTAATCTTTGTATTTCAAGATTTGTTTGTTTTTGGCAGCATTTCTCTTCATGATACACATTTCTTTGCTGAAAAGATGAAAGTAGGTCCTGTGGAAGTAATAAGTCACACCTGGAATATCAGAACCATGGTAAAATAAAGGTAAGTGTTACTTCAAAATATTCAAAGAGTAGCTGGTTTAGCAGTTGGTTTAGCCACTACTTGGAATGCCCACATATCACATCAGAGTGCTTCGTATCAAGTTCTACCTCTGCTGCTCATCTATCTTTCTAGAAATATGCAGGGGAGGTAGTAGATGGTGACCTAAGTGCTTGCATTACTGCCACTCATCTGGTAGACCACAAAGGAATTCCTTGGTCTTGTGTTTAGACTTGCCTATCCCTGGCTGTTGCAGACATTTGGGGAACAAACCACAATATGGAAGACAGATCACTCTCTTTCAGGCACTCTGCATTTTAAATATACAAACATTTATAAACATTTTAGAGACACAATTGTGGTGCAGTGGGTAAAGCCACTGCCTGTGATGCCAATATCTAATATAGGCACAAGTTTGAGTACCAGCTGCTTCACCTCTGACCCAAATACCTGATAATGGCCTGGGAATAGCAGTTGAAGATGGCTCAATCCTTTGGCCCCTGCCACCCACATGGGAGAACCAGATGAATATCCTGGTTCCATAGTTTTGCCTGACCCAGCCCAGACCAACGAAGCTTTCTGGGAATTGAACCAGCAAAATTGAACTAGAAAATAGAAAGTCTCTCTTTCTCTCTCTCTCTCTCTCTCTCCACTCTCTCCCCCTGTCTCTCCCTCCCTCCTTCCTTTCTTACCTCCTCCCCTTGCTCTCTCTTCATCTCTCTCTGTAACTCTTTCAAATAAATAAATAAATAATATTTAAAGCATTTTTAAATGTTCATAAAATAGAACTAAAAGATGAGGTAATTTTGGTGCAATACCAATTTTGAAATTCATGTATTTTTCATATTATGCATTTTCCATATATTATGAAAATGCCTTTTTGCCAAAAAATTGTGCCACAGCAAACTCATACTTTAATTCAGCTTTTCATGAACTTTTAAAATTTCCATCACATATGCTTCACTTACCTTACTTTGCAATATAGCACAAACAGAACTGCTGCTCCCACCTACATCTCTATCCTTCTTCTGTATATCAGTAGGTATATGATTTTTAAATAGTCCGGCTGTTTTAGAATTAGTCTTTCTTAATAATAAATTATTTCTATATACCTTGTGACTTTGATCTGAGTGCCAGCAAAACCACTCCCCTAACCTAATTATCTGCAGTGTTCATTCCATAAATGACTTAGTTACTGAATTTGATTGAAGATATTACAGTATGCTTTTTAAGATCATGGTTGTAATTTTGTATTTTTTGTTTCACTTTAGTTTTTTCCCTTATTTCATTTAATTTTTCTGTATTAGGAGCTATGAAATAATCTTAGGTATTTCCATGGGCCAGTCTGATGACTTTTTTCCTTTTTAAATGTGTTGTAGTGTCATGTTTATTTACTGAGATAAAGCATTTCTAAGCTTTTTAATATTATATAAAATGGGCTAGTATAATTTTATATACAGGATAGCATTTTATTTTTTATTTATTTAAAAATAGACAATATAAATTTCAGTTGTTCTTGCTTTATGAGAGTGTGCAGTATATCTTTTCTCCTTTTTTCATGTTTTATGTTTAAGATCTATTTATTATGTTGTTTTACTAGTATTAATGTAAAAAGTCTCTGATTTACAGACTTCTTGACCCACCTCCAGCCTTAAGGGCGAATAGGAAGCTGTGGCCCATGAGAGTATCCTGAAAGTAGTGGTGGTTTTCTCTTGAACTCGATGTTAAACTCTAATATTCTATATCGCCTTTTAGGTGTTCTATTAGTTATCAAAGATCAGGGAGAACATATAGTATTTGCCCTTTGGGACAGGCTTATTTCACTAAGTATAATGTTTTCTAGTTGCTTACATTTTGTTGCAAAATACAAGATTTGCTTTTTTTTACTGCTATGTAGGTATACATATCCCATAATTTATTTATCCAGTCTTACATTGACAGACATTTGGGTTGATTCCATATCTTAGCTATTGTGAATTGAGTTGAAATAAACATGGTGATTCATTTTCATTTCACATGCTGATTCATTTTCTTTGGGTAAATTCTCAGCAGTGGGATGGTTGGGTCACATGGTAGGTATATATTCAAATTTCTGAGGTATTTCCATGCTGTCTTCCACAGTGGCTGTAGCAGTTTCCCTTTCTATTAACAATAGATTATGGTAACTTTCCCCCCTCATCATCACCAGCATTTGTTGCTTGTTGATTTCTGTATGAGAGCCATTCTAACTAGAGTGAGGTGAAACCTCATTGTGGTTTTGATTTGCATTTCTCTGATGGCTAGTGATTCTGAACATTTTCTTAAGTGTCTGTTGGCCATATGACTTTCCTCTGTTGAAAAATGTCTTTTTAAGCTGTGGTATAGTGGATAAAGCCACAACCTGCATTACTGGCATCCCATATGGGTGCGTATTTGAGTCCTGGCTGCTTTAATTCTGATTCAATTCTCTGCTATACCTGGGAAAGCAGTGGAAGATGGTGCAGGTCCTTGGACTCCTGCACTCAAATAGGAAGACCCAGAGGAAGGTCCTGGCTCCTGGTTTCAGATTGGCACAGCTCCAGCCATTATGACCAACTGGGGAATGAACCAGTGAATGGAGGACTTCTCTCTCTGCTTCTCTTTCTGCCATTCTTTGTCTCTCTGTTTAACTCTGACTTTCTAATAAATAAATAAATCTTTTAAAAAAGAAATTATATGTCACGAGCAGAGATGTGCATATTTAATAATTAACAAAGGAGAGAACCTCCACTTTGACTATGACCGTGTCTAAAGAAGATAAGAGTCGGAGAACTCAAGGGGCTTCCATAGCCTTGGAAACTCATGACTGGTGCATAGGGAGATTACTGATGCCATAAACAGGAGTGTCAATTGGTAAAGTCAACAACAGGAGTCACTGTGCACTTACTCCTCATGTAGGATCTCTGTCCTTAATGTGCTGTACACTGAGGCTTAATGCTATAACAAGTACTCAAACAGTATATTTCACTTTGTGTTTCTATGGGGGTACAAACGATTGAAATCTTTACTTGATGTACACTAAACTGATCTTCTGTAAAAAAAAAAAAAAAAGAAATTAGCAATTCCCAACTTGACTCTCACTGGGATTAAACATGACAATAGGTCTGATCTGATTTCATCATCATTTAAAAAAAATCATCTATTATTTTTCACTTTATGTTTCTGTGTGGGAGCAAACTGTTGAAATCCTTACTTAAGGTATACTAAGCTGATCTTCTGTATATTAAGATAATCGAAAATGAATCTTGATGTGAATGGAAGGGGAGAGGGAGTGGGAAAGGGGAGGGTTGTGGGTGGGAGGGACAGTATGGGGGGGGGAAGCCATTGTAACCCATGAGTCGTACTTTGGAAATTTATATTCATTAAATAAAAGATAAAAAATAAAAAAAATAATTAAAAAAATAAAAAAAATAATTAACAAAGGATTATACATATTTCTATTATCCATATACTTACAGAAGAATGAGTAAGTGTTGGCATGTTGTCATTCACATCTCCAATATTAATGATACAAGTTTCGGGGGTCTGTAAAACAAAATATTGACCATCCATATCTTGTAGTTTTATTTTCAACTGGATTTATCAATTAATTGATAACAAAAAACAAATGTAATTACTGAAGGAAATTAGCAGCATTACAAATGAAATTGACATTTAAACTGTATAATTTTCCTTATCTTAATAATTTAAGGGGCACATGATTAAATTTCATAGCCCTCATAATCTAGAAGTATTTCTTCACGCTAGTAATTTTCATTTAATTTATGAAAAATATTGTCATTTCTTAACAGACCATCAACACAAAAACATAGAATCAATTGGTTTTATCGTTATTCAACACATTTAGAAGGGCTATAGCCTTAAGTACATTTTAAACTGCCTGTTAATTACTAAGAATCTTTATCTCCTATCAAAAGCATATTCTAATATTTTTACTTTTTATTTATATAGAGAAGAAATTTCATGTATTTCTTACATACAATTTTAAGAGTATAATGATACTTCTCACACACCCCTCCCTCCTGCCTTCTCTCACTCCCACCCTCCTTCCTCCTTCTTTTTTTAAAATTTTAATTTGTACTATGAAATGCTTTCAATTTACTTTATAATCACAAATTTAACATTCAAAAATATATAGCAGTAAATCAGAGCTGTCATTGTGGCACAACAAGTTAAGCCACCACCTGCAACTCTAGCATTCCATATGGGTACCAGTTCAAGCCCCAGTTGCTACACTTCCAATCTCACTCTCTGGCAATGCACCTGGGAAAGCAGTAGAGAATGACAAGTCTTTGAGGCCCCTGCCATCCATATGGAGGACCTGGATGGAGTTCCCTGCTCCTGGCTTTGGCCTGTCCAAGTCCTGCCTGTTTCAGCTATCTAGGGTAGGGAACCGGCAAAAGAAATATCTCTCTGTATGTAATTGCCATTAAAATAAATAAATGTCTTTAAAACAATAATGTAAACTATTCCCCTGTGAAAAAATACTTTAAAGATTTACTTTATACTTATAAAACAATCAATAAATGAAGATAAAAGAAAAGAAAAAATTCTAAGTACTTGGTTCATTTTTTCAATGGATTTTTTGTTTTGTGGTTATTGAATTTCTTGAACTCTTTATAGATTCTGGATATTAAACCCTTACCAGTTGCATAGTTTGCAAATAATTTTTCTAATTCTTCAAGTTACCTCTTCACTTTGCTGAGTGTTCCTTTTGCAGTGCAGAGACTTTTCAGTTTCATGTACTCCCCTTTGTCAATTTTGGCTTTGATTCCCAGTGCTTCTTGATTTTTCCCCCAAGAACTCTTTGTGTATACCAAAATCTTTCAGTGTTTCCCCAATGTTCCCTAATAATTTGACAGTATCTGGTCATAGATTTAAGTCTTTGATCCATTTTGAGTGGATTTTTGTGTAAGGAGGGGACCTTTCTTCATACTTCTACATGTGGATATCCAATTTTCTCAGCACCATTTGTTGAAGAGATTGTACTTGCTCAAGGAATTGATTTTAGCTCCTTTGTCAAAGATAAGTTGGTTGTAGATGCATAGGTTGATTTCTGGAGTTCCTCTTTCTTTCCATTGGCATATCCATCAATTTTTGTGAGAGTGCCAGACTGTATTGAATATAACTGTGCTGTAATACATTTTGAAATGTGGTATTGTGATGCCTCCAGCTTTGTTGTTGTGGTATAAACTTGCTTTAGTTATTCAGGATCTCTTGTGTCTGCATATGAATTTCAGCATCCTTTTATTTTTGATCTGAGATGAATATCCTTGGTATTTTGATGGTATCACATTGAATCTATAAATTACTTTAGTAGAATGGACATTTTGATTACATCAATTATTACTATACATGAGCATGAAAAATTTTTCCATTTTTGTGTCTTTTTCTATTTTTCTTTAGTGTTTTCTAATTTTCATTGCAGAGATCTATGATGTTCTTGATTAAATTTATTTCAAAGTGTTTGTTTTTGTAGCTATTATGAACGGAATTATGTTAGAAGTTTTATCAGCTGTGGCATTCTCTGTGTATACAAAGACTGTTGTTGTTTTTTTTACTTTTATTTAATGAATATAGATTTCCAAAGTACAGCTTATGGATTACATTGGCTTCCCCCCCACCCATAACATCCCTCCCACAGGCAACCCTCCCCTTTCCCACTCTCTCTCCCCTTCCATTCTTATGAAGATTCATTTTCAATTTTCTATATATACAGAAGATCAGTTTAGTATACATTAAGTAAAGATTTCAACAGTTTGCACCCACATAGAAACATAAAGTGAAAAATACTATTTCAGTACTCGTTATAGCATTAAACCACAATGTACAGCACATTAAGGACAGAGATCCTACATGAGGAGTAAGTGCACAGTGACTCCTGTCATTAACTTTACAAATTGACACTCCTTTTTATGGCATCAGTAATCTCCCTATGCTCCAGTCATGAGTTTCCAAGGCTATGGAAGCCTTTTGAGTTCACTGACTCTTATCTTATTTAGACAAGGTCATAGTCAAAGTGGAAGTTCTCTCCTCCCTTCAGAGAAAGGTACCTCCTTCTTTGAAGACCTGTTCTTTCCACTGGGATCTCAGCCAGATCCGAATGCTTTTAGGGCTGATTTTGAGGCCAGAGTGCTGTTTAGGACATCCGCCATTCTCTGGGTCTGCTGTGTATCTCACTTCCCATGTTGGATCATTCTCTCCCTTTTTGATTCTATCAGCTAGTATTTGCAGACTCTAGTCTTGTTTATGTGATCCCTTTGACTCTTAGTCCTTTCATTATGATCAATTGTGAACTGAAATTGATCACTTGGACTAGTGAGATGGCATTGGTACATGCCACCTCAATGGGATTGAATTCGAATCCCCTGGTATGTTTCTAACTCTACCATTTGGGGCAAGTCAGCTTGAGCATGCCCCAAATTGTACATCTCTTCTCTCTCTTTTTCCCACTCTTATGTTTAACAGGGATCACATTTCAGTTAAATTTCAACACTTAAGAATAACTGTGTATTAATTACAGAATTAAACCAGTCATATTAAGTAGAACAGACAAAAAAAACTACTAAGAGGGATAACGTATTCAGTTGTGCATTAAGGACTGTTGATTTTTGAATGTTGATTTTATAGCCTGCCACATTATCAACTCTTTTATGAGCTCCAATATTCTCTTAGTGGAGTCTTTTGGATCCTCTATATATACATTCATGTAAATATTTTGGCTTTTGCCTTCTCAATTTGTATCCCTTTGATTTCTTTTTCTTGCCAAATGACTTTGGCTAAAACTTCCAGTACTATACTGAATAACAATACTGAGAGTGGGCATTTTGTCAGATTCTGGATGTTAGACGGAATACTTACAAGGTTTCCCCATTCAATAGGATGCTGGCCATGGTTTGTCATAAATTGCTTTGATTGTGTTGAGGAAAGTTCTTTCTATTTGCTTAAAGCTTTTATCCTAAAAGAGTTGTATTTTATCAAAAGTTTATCTCTATCTATTGAGATCATTTGGTTTTTGTTCTTCAATTTGTTAATGTGATGTAACACATTTGTTGATTTGTGAATGTTTGAACCATCCCTGCACACTGGGGATAAATCCACTTGGTCCAGTTGAATGATCTTTCTTAAATATTGATGGATTTGATTGGGTATTTTGCATCTATGTTCATCTGAAAAATTGGCTTGTAGTTCTCTTGATCTGTTGTATCTTTTTCAGGTTTAGAAATTACAGTGATGCTGGCTTCATAGAAAGAATGTGGAAGGATTCCCTCTCTTTCAACTATTTTGAGTAACTTGAGAAGAATTGAAGTTAATTCTTCTTTAAATCTCTGGAAGATCCAGCAGTGAAGCCATCCAGTACTGGGATTTTCTTTGTTTGTAGGGTCTTTATTATTTATTCAATTTTCATTGTGATTATTGACTTGTTTAGATATTCTGTGTCTTCATGGCTCAATTTAGGTAAGTTGTATGTGCCTTGGAATCTATCCATCTCCTTTAGGTTTCCCAATTTGTTGTTTCATTGATCTTTTTTGTTGTTTGGTTTCAATTTTGTTTGTTTTCTAAATTTAATTATTTCTTTTCTCCTAATAATTTTGGGTTTTGTTTGCTGTTGTTTTTCTAGTTCCTTAAGATGAATTGATAATATATTCGGTATCTTTCCAATTTTTTGATGTAGGCACCAATTGCTATAAACTTTCCTCTTAATAATGCTTTTGTTGTATCCCATAAAGTTTGCCATGTTGTATTGTCTTTATTTGCTTACAGAAATTTTTTTGATATTCCTTATGACCCACTCTTCATTTAGGAGCATGTTGTTCAGTCTCCATGTTTTTACATATGTTCTAGAGATTCTTGAGCTGTTGATTTCCAGTTTATTCCATTATGGTCAGAGAAGATACATGGTATCATTTTTATTTTTTTTTTATTTGCTGATACTTACTTTATGCCCTACCATGTTGTCTATCTTAGAGAAAGTTCCAAACAATGGTGAGAAGAATGTGTATTCTACAACTGTAGGATGATTAGTTCTGTAGATATCTGTTAGGTTCATTTGGTCTATAGTGTCAATTAACTCTGTTGTTTTATTACTGATTTTCTTTCTGGTTGATCTGTCCATTGATGCTAGTGGGGAATTAAAACCCTGTATGACTATTGTATTGGAGTCTATGATTCCCTTTAGATCCATTAACATTTCTTTAAAATACCTGTGTACCCTAGTATTTGGGTGCATATGCATTATTATAGTCACATCTTCCCATTGAACTGATCCCTTAATCATTACATAATGCCCTTTTTTGTATCCTTTAACAGTTTTTCTATTAAAGTCTGTTTTGTCTGATATTAGGATGGCTACACCATGTCCTTTTTGTTTCTGTTAGCATGGAATATCTTTTTCCATCCTTTCAATTACAGTCCAAGTGTATCTTTGTTGGTGAGATGCATTTGTTATAGGCAGCAAAGAAATGGGTCTTGTTTTTATTCCATTGGCCAAACTGTAACTTTTAACTGGAATGTTGAGGATATTTACATTCAAGTTGAATATTGATAAAAATGACTTGGCCTTGCCATTTTTCCATATATATTCATATTGTTTACTTTGGACTTTCTTGGCACTATCATTGGGAGATTTTTTGCTTTCATCTTTTTGTTTTTGCTTTTCATCTTCTTTCATAGTGATGACCATGTTTCTTTCTGAAGCACATCCTTCAGCATCTTTTGTAAGGCTGGATAAATGGGTGACATATTCTTTAAATTTGTTTGTTAAGGAAGGTCTTTATTTAATCTTCATTCATAAATGAAAATTTTGCAGGGTGCGGTGTTCTGGGTTGAAAGTTTTTTGTTTCTCTTCAGACTTGGGATATATCTCACCATCCTCTCCATGCCTGTAAGGTTTCTGATGAGAATTTGCTGTGAGTCTAATTGCAGTTGCTCTGAAAGTAATTTGGCATTTCTTTCATGCACATTTTAGAATCTTTTCTTTATATTTCACTGTGGAGAGTTTTACTACATTGTGTCATGGTGAAGACCTTTTCTGGGCATGTCTTTTGGGAGTTCTGTGTACTTCCTGTACTTAGGTGTCCCTATCTTTGTCCAATTTACGGAAATTTTCTGTTACTATCCATGTTGGTTATTCTCCTCGCTGTGATGGTCTTCCTCTTTGGATTATGCCTATGTGGTTCAGTGTAGTATCTGCTTTTTCTGTGAATACCCAGAGGCATGTGATGAGTGTGACCCAGGAGCTCCATTCAGTGCTACAGTGTGATGGAAGTGTCCAAGGTGACATCCAAGTGAGGCGTGGTAAATCTCTTTTTTAATCAGGGTGGTTTGGCTCACTTTATTGGCATATTCTCACGCTCACGTCTCCTCCAAGGAGACCTATGCCCAGCCGCTATCCTCAGTGAGTGCAACCATCTGCACTGCTACAAGAGCGACACAAAGGATCAATGCAGTGTGAGCATGGATCCTCTAACAGTGACTCTCACCAGGCAGTCAGAGAGTTCCAAGCATATGGAGCCACCCACAATGTCTGCTCATAGATTCAGACACACCTTGCACCCTCCCATGCAGCCACAGTGTTTTCATAGTCCATAACAGTAACAAGGCTCCCAAGTAATGGTAACCTAGTCCCCTGTCAATTCTCTCAGCCAGACTCAGACCCAACTCCTCTCAGCTAGTTGCTTGGCATGTGGACTCAAGCTGACACAGTTACAGGATGCTGGTGCTAGGGGGTCAGTGAGAGAGAAATGTGTTCTCCCTTTTTATTCCTCTAGGTTGGAGGGACACTGTCCCCCACTGGGCTCCAGGCTAGACTCACACCAGGCTCTTCCTGAAGTGTAATTGCAATTGGCCTGGGCTGCTGCAGCCTGATCTCACTTCACTCTTCAAAGCTGGTGCTGAGGTTTTTTAGGCTACAGTGGTCCTGAACTGTGCACATCCACATCCCCCACATAGATCCACAGTGTTCCTTTAATTTGCATGGAATTTCCTCTGCAGTTTTCTCCCTAACTCTTCCCCAAGATTGCACTCTCTCCACTTTTTTAACTATCTTTTTTTTTAATTACCTTCCCTTACACTAGAGTAATGAGCTCCTTCTCTATTCCATCATCTTGGAATCTCTGCAGTAAATCTTTTACATCAAAATTTGTGTCAGGATAGTTATAATATAGTCAATAGTATGCCTGTGACCTCCTTGCAGTTACACATGGGCATTTATCATTATATATTGTTATAATACATAAATAGATTCCTAATGACCATAACCTGTCAAGGTGAAAAAAAACATGCAATTCAGTAATTGAAAGTTTAGTAGAGGCCGGCGCCGCAGCTCAATAGGCTAATCCTCCACCTGCGGTGCTGGCACATCAGGTTCTAGTCCTGGTCAGGGCACCAGATTCTGTCACGGTTGCTCCTCTTCCAGGCCAGCTCTCTGCTGTGGCCTGGGAAGGCAATGGAGGATGGCCCAAGACCTTGGGCCCTGCACCCACATGGGAGACCAGGAGAGACACCTGGCTTCTGGCTTCAGATCAGCACGGTGCGCTGGCTGCAGTGCACCAGCCGTAGTGGCCATTGTGGGGTGATCCAATGGAAAAGGAAGACCTTTCTGTCTCTCTCTCTCACTGTCCACTCTGCTTGTCCAAAAAAAAAAGTTTAGTAGAAAACTATAGTTGTCTCCATTAAAACAACTGATAGTCATTTTAAATTACTCAGGTACTATTAACCATTGTTCATGAGAGAGTGGTGGCTGGCAACCACTTTTATGGATAAGTGCTTGACTTGTGAACATAATTACTTTTGTGAGGTAATTATGTCCACAAGTCAAGCACAATCTCCCTTATTTGTGGAATCTAAGAAAGTCAAACTTAAGTACAAAACAAAATAGTGGTTGCCAGGACATGAGAGTGAAGGAAGTGGGAAGATGTTAGTTGAACAACACACATTTGCAGTTAGGAGATAATATACACCACAAAAATGATGTGAATACATTATTACATAACTTGTTAATATATTAATTATTCTTTTAAAAACTATGAAAGATAATGAGTTGGGCCAGCACCGTGGCTCAATAGGCTAATCCTCCACCTTGCGGCGCCAGCACACCAGGTTCTAGTCCCGGTGGGGGTGCCGGATTCTGTCCCGGTTGCCCCTCTTCCAGTGAAGCTCTCTGCTGTTGCCTGGGAGTGCAGTGGAGGATGACCCAAGTGCTTAGGCCCTGCACCCCATGGGAGACCAGGAGAAGCACCTGTCTCCTGGCTTTGGATCAGCACAATGCGCCGGCCGCGGCGGCCATTGGAGGGTGAACCAAAGGCAAAAGGAAGACCTTTCTCTCTGTCTCTCTCTCTCACTGTCCACTCTGCCTGTCAAAAATTAAAGAAAGATAATGAGTATGTTTGTTTGATTGTCCTAATCATTCCATAATGTATATGTACAAGGGGACTCATAAAACTTTGTGAAAAATGGGATTAAAAGATAAGATGAATTTTCCCTAAACTTTAAAAAGTCTCCTCACATATCAAAACATCAGCCTGCAGGCCTTGAATATATATAAATTTTGTTTGCCAATTATACTCCAGTAACACTCAAAAAATCACTCTATATCAAAATAAAAATTAAAACTAACAGGAATCTAGGCTTATATCTTTGAGGTTGAGATGGTTGTCATGGAACAGAAACAATTTTTAAAACATTCATAAATGTGGCTTCCTAAGATTTCTAATTTCAAAGTTCAGAGACAGAGGACAGCCTGTCAAATGAACATGTAAGGGCTAAGATAATATGCAAATACAAATTACAGTGTCCTCCTGCCCCCTAAAACCTGGACCAACATCCTGAGCAAAATAAAATTGCTTTGTTTTTAACTTACATTGTCTTTGACTCTGTTAATGCCAACAGAAAATGAGGTCAGACCCCTAAAAAGAGCTATGCTGAGTTGTCAGAGTCTGTGTAGTAAGAACATTCTTCTGACAAATTTAGAAGCAACCCTTGGAAGAAGAGAGAAACTAAGAACCCCTTAAATGATTGCTCCTCACCACACGAACCCTGCACACAGCCCATATTAATCCATAATGACTATCCTTTCCCCATGGCTCAATCAGGGAATGCAAGGAGCTACTGCCAACGGCTGCCCAGCGATGGCCTCTGGGCTCTGAGTAGGAAAGGAACAGGGCACCTGGAGTTCTGGATGCCAGTCCAGCCCATACACTGTGTAAAAGAAGGGGTCAAAGGAAGGGTTGTGCCAGCAGAGATGGGGCCTACAAACTCCAGGGATAACATGTGGGAAGCCCGTATCCTGCCATCATTTTCTGGTGACTTCTTCCCACTACACCTCCCCCTCTCCTCAAGCCCGGCCCCACACACTCACCATTTCTCAGCATCTGAGGTGGGTGGAATTCTGCAATAGAAGAAAGTCAGAGAACAGTGAACGCTGGCTACCTTCCGAGTTTCCCAGCGGTGGAGGCCCCTCCTAGGACTTCTATCTGCCATGGAACTGGAACACTACTATGGTGTCAAGATCTCTGGTGATTATGTAACATTTATGCCACCACACATGATTGGAAAGCTTGCATTTCCATGGGTATGAACATCACAGTAGACACAGCCAACCAGCATCCTCCATAGCAGTGATGCATATTTTCAGGTCATGCTGGAACGTGTCTTTCTAAGCTATGCCATGCCTGTAGTGGGAGGAATTTTCTCTTCTCTGGTCTTGCCAACTGCTAGGCTCCCTCTGACCTCCCAGCCCATCATCCTGAGAGGATCCTACTTGGAAGTTGCAGTAACCTGCTTCAGGTCAGTTACAGTTTAATGGTGGTTTATTGCCTTCAGAGCCTTTCTTTTTCATCATATATGTGACTTTTTTTCTATCGAGTCATCTATGGGTTTTTTAGTATTCATTTAAAGAATGTTTAAAGACACCACATAATTTAATCTTTTTTCCCATTTTTCTTGCACATTTTTTCTAGACTGCCTATTGTCCTCTACTATTATTTTCTATTTATTTCTTGATGGCACTTAGAAATTAGTAGATTTTATAAATATACATATATGTATATATAAAATTGGTCTTTCCAGTAATGTCATTTATCTGTTGTATTTGTTTTTATAATTTTATGGATTATCTTTCTATATAAACATCATCAAATATATTCATTTTATGTCTGAAATTGATCTTTATACCTCATAATTTGTTTTTACTGTTTTATTCTCCTTACTATCACTGCAGTAGAAAGTTTGAGAGACAGCACAGACTCATGGTCTAGGTTTACTCCTAGGGTAAAAAAAAGTTTTCAATGATCCTAATTACTTGCATTGTTTGTCGTAGGTTCATTTCGTTGTTGATTGGAGTTAGGAAGTTGCTGGCTTTTTAGTTGTTGTTCTGTTAGCAGTATTCTTTTTACCAGATTATGAACTTCATTAAATGCCTTTCAACATGTAATCTAAATGATCATGTGATTTTCTTCTTTTATTTTTTTACCTACCTGGTTGACTTGTCTGGGAATCTACAGCACTCTTGTGTTTTTTAATATATCCTGCTTTCTATTGAGATATTATGTGATTTCATTTATTAAATTAATATTTTGCTGAGGATACTTATAGCTCTGCTTATGAAAGGGATGCATTTAATAAAACTTAATTTTTTATTTCAAGTCCTGATCTAAAACTTTAATTTTTATTTCAAGTCTTGGTCCCCTTGCATCATCCTCACTGTAATGCTGGTTTTCTCAAAGAAACTAAAACCAATATGCTTTGCTTATTTCTGCTTTGGGTAGGTCTTTGAAATATAGATTCATATATTCTTCTGTAAAATTTTGGAATATTCTGTAACTCTGGACCTAAAGTTTTGATTGTATGACTTTTTTCTTGGTTGATTGGTTGGAGTTTTCAAAATGTGATTCAACTTACTTGGTTTATATAGGTGTTTTCCTATTTTGTTATATTTGTGTTTTGGAAATATTATTTTCAAAATTGGGTGGATTTTGACACCAAAGAGAAAAAAATAAAATAATGGATAGGTCTTAGCACTGAAGCAAAGATTACCATAGCTAGAATAGTATGAAAGGCCTAATTAATGGATAATATTTCATCTTAAAACATAATAATGGCAAGTATCTTTCAATAAAGAAGCACAGAAGAGAATATTTAAGCTGAAGAACCAAACAAAAAATTTGAAGATCATAATGAAGGGAAGAAAATATCAGTATATAATCAAAGGATAGAAGATGATTAAGCTGGAAGATGAAAAAAGTGAAACATGATGAGTATAATTAATGATAATGTATTTTATTCTCCAAAAGTGTTGAGAAAATATATTTAAAAGTGCAGAATAATATGTATGTTGATTCATTTTATTAAACCATTCCACAATACATGCATATTTCAAAGCAATATGACAATGACACTTCAAAAGGTTCATGTAGAATGGAATTAAAAAATAATTAAGAAAAAATTTCAATGTTTGTATAGATTTTTTAAAGCTTTTATTTAATGAATGCATTTTTCATAGGTACAACTTTAGGCTTATAGTGGCTCTTTCCCCCACAACCGCCCTCTTACCTTTACTCCTGTCCCACCTCCCAATCCCTCTCCCATCCCACTTTTCATTATGGTTCATTTTTAGATTAACTTTATAGAGAGAGGTCTCTTTGCTAAGTAAAGATTTCAACAGTCTGCACCCACACACACACAACACATAAAGTACAGTTTGATAATAAGTTTTGCTGTTAATTCTCATAATACAAAACTCACTAAGGACAGAGGTTCTACATGGGGATTAAGTGAACAGTGACTTCTTTTGTTCACTTAATAATTAACATTCTTACTTATGATGTCAGTGATCACTTGAGGCTCTTGCTATGAGCTGCCAAGGCTATAAAAGCCTTTTGTGACCACAGACACCTTCAATATTTGGACAAGGACATAAGCAAAGTGGAAGTTCTCTCCTCCCTCCAGAGAAACATCCTTCTTTGATGGCACGCCACTGGGGTCTCACTCACAGATAACCTTTGTGTAGGATATTTTTTGCCACAGAGTCTTGCCTTTCCATGCCTGAAATGCTCTCACAAGCCTTTCAGTCAGACCAGGGAGACTTAAGGGTTGATTCTGAGGTCAGAGTGTTAATTACAGTGAATGTCATTCTAGGACTCTGTGGTGTGGACTGCTTCCCATATTGGACATTATCTCCTTTTAAATTCTATTATTATTGCACCTAGTCTTATTTATATGATCTCTTTTACACTTATTCCTATCTATACATTCACTTTAACACCTAGTATGGTCACTTTAACAATTAAGATGGCATTTTTACCAACAATTTTAATGGGATTGGAGTCACATGATAAGTTTTTAAACTGTACGCTTAGAAGTAAGTCAGTGGAACTGTATGCAGACATATACAGCTTTACAGTTATAAACTACCTCCTCCCTCTCTTATTCCCCTCTTATTTTTTAAAATATTTTCCATTTATTTATTTGAAAGTCAGAGTTGCACAGAGAGAAGAGAGGCAAAGAGAAAGAAAGGTCTTCCATCCACTGGTTTGTTCCCCAAATGGACTATCCTTGCTCCAGGAATTGGTTTTAGCTCCTTGAACAAATATAAGTTGGTTGTAGATGTTTGGATTGATTTCTGGTGTTTCTATTCTGTCCCATTTGGCTAATCATCTGTTTTTGTACCAGTACCATGCTGTTTTGATTATAACTGCCTTATAGTATGTCTTGAAATCTGGTATTGTGATGCCTCCAGCTTTGTTTATTTGTATGATTTCTTTAGTTATTTGAGGTCTCCTGTGCCCCCATATGAATTTCAGCATTATTTTTTCTAAATCTGAGAATAATGTCTTTGTATTTTGATTGGTATTGCCATGAATTTGTAAGTTGCTTTTGTAAGAATGTACATTTTGATGATATTGATTCTTGCAATCCATGACCACAGCAGATTTTTCCTTTTTTTTTTGTATCTTCATCTATTTCTTCCTTTAAGATTTTGTAACACTCATCATAGAGATCTTTGACCTTATTGGTTAAATTTATTTCATGATATTTTATTTTTTTCTAGCTATTGTGAATGAGATTGAATTTAGAAGTTCTTTCTAAGCCATAGCATTGTCTGTGCATACAAAGGCTGTTGATTTTTGTGTGTTGAATTTATATTCTGATAGTTTAGAAAACTCTTCTGTGAATTCCAGTAGTCTCTTAGTGGAGTCTTTTGGTTCCCATATATTTAGAATCATGTCATCAGCAAAAAGAGATAGTTTGATGTCTTCCTTCCCAATTTCTATCTCTTTGATTTGTTTTTCTTGCCTAATGGCTCTGACTAAAACTTTCAGTACTATATTAAATAGCAATGGTGAGAGTGGGCATC